GTAGTTAGTTAGTTTAGTGTGTGTGTGTGTGTGTGTGTGTGTAGTATATATATATATATATATATATATAATGCACATTAAAATTTTAACCTTAAAACAAGTAATCACTAATGTAAGTTTAATTTGAAATAACTTTAGACTTTCTGTCAAGACAATCATCAAAAGCATACTAAAGCATTCAATCAGTCAAAAATAAGTAATTTTGAGAATATTCTTATATGTTGAATGTGATATTCAAGTGAACCATATCAAAGTGCAAAAATTTTGTTAAAATAACAGTAAGCCTTAAGACTATTTAACGTATCTCATTAACAAAGATTAATTAATCATTAATGTACAATCAAAAAAGTAATTTATCGCGAATATATCTAAATCTAAATTTATCTATCGCATTGTCACTTAGTCAATTATTTGGAATGAAAATGCGGTTATGTAAAATCCCGCATGGAGTGGCGATTGGAGTACCGTTTGCGGATCAAAATTGTTGCTGAATTCAAATTAAAAACTGTTTCATTAACAATCAATCAGATTTAACCTTATGTAATATATACATAATCGCTTCTTTCTCATAAATCGTTTACCGAAATAAATTTTCGTCAACGTTTGCGAAAATCACACGCGAACGAAAATTCCGGCCGGCAAAATTGCTTCGGTGAACTTTCGCGATCTTTTCAGAAGGACACTTTTCCGCGATTCAGTCTTCTTACCTTTAATTCTCAAAGAGATTTCTCAAGATAATATGTGTCGATGTCGAGAGCGAGCTGAAGATCGGCGTGGCTGCACGTTGTCTCGCTAGCAATGGAATGGAAATGTAGAGATCAAAGCGTGCTGTGTAGCCGTGCCCCCTTTTCGCTTCTCTCTCCTCATCCCCATATCGAGTGTATCTAACCTTAAGCGCAACAATTAATTTCTTATAATAAAGTATTTGATGATCAGACAGACATCATATGGGCGAAATGTATCGCTAGGAGCAATTTTCTTTGAGATTTCATGAAAATTTTATCTCAAAAGTTGTGATTTTGTTCGACACATCGAGAGGTCTCCCACGTGGCGCAAGTTCTAGAAAGTACGATCCGTGTGATGCAATCTACCGTTCGACGTCTATTATTTTTATGTATTCCTTTTGCTATTATCAGATATTTAAAAATATAAGCTTTTTCGCTGATATATATGGAAACGAAACAAAAGTTACATTTCTGATTTATCTTCCAATGCACGCATGCCTGCAAGTCCTTCATTATCGAAATAAATGCAAGAATCTTCGCATCTATTGTACCATTATATTTATACTTGACAGAATTTGTAAGAGAAAAAGAAGTTATTTTATCATTTAGTTTCATTTTCTGTTATCTCATGTCAATTGTAATGACAATATTATGTATTGTCAGAGAGAAAGTTGTGTGTAAACATTTCTATTCCCATCAATATTAAAATCTTTACAAAAAACGATCAATAAAATCTAAAAACATAGTTTCTAAGATTAAGACGTTCCTTCTTTTACTATTTTTATTAATTTATCTTAATTTTTGATAGAACAATAAATAAAACAAGAAGTTTGTTATTTAAAAAAAAGAAAAAAAGGAAAAATACGAAAAGAAAAGATTAAATTTCTTTACAACAGTTTCAATAGTTGATTTAGGTTGAGAAATTAATAGCGCATTTTCGCAGGGAATCTTGATTACATAATCCTCTTGCGATCCTTATAGCAGTGATAACTGATCGATGCGCGATACATTGAGTGGGGTGAACCACTCTATGGAGAAGCTTCGAGAAAATCGCTGCGCGCTGTATTCTGCTTCGTGCCGGCTGCAGTTTAGGTTACACAACGTGCACGAGTTCTTTAACGTGCGTAAAATATTGGTCTCATATCCCATTTGACTTCCAATTGCAAAGAAACTGCGATCATGGTGAGATATTTTGCTATAAATTAATCTTTATAATGTAAGATAATAATAGAAAGTTTCTTCTGATTAAGCAATTTCATCCAATTCATCTTTTTATTTTCGGTAACCTTTAATGTGGTATCCATGAGACGATGTTTTTTATTCAGTATTATTTATGCTGGAAGTAATTTTCACGCCAAATTATTCCCGAAGCTATGAATAATGAAAAATATTGCGTGATCTTTTGTTGCATCCTGTTTGCTTTGTAATAATTTGTGATCATCAAATCGCATTTGTTTATGAATCTGTGAAGATAGATAAATGTGTGTTTCGATTGCAATCACATCGTGTTATTCACATTCATAATAATTTAAAAAATCTCTGCTTTCTAAAATAAATAAATATGCAAGTATTTTACGAATTTTTGTTATATAGTAAGAAATTTGGTTACCAACTTGCATTCATTGTACATTCTTTGTTGAACAGTTTTTTGTCACAGTTTCATGTTATTTTGTATAAATATATACAATAGAGAAAAATAGTGAAAAAGATTATAATAAAAATAATGATAATCAATCAGATAAATAATAAAAAAACAATTTAATTTATTATTAACATTTCTAATTCCTAACACGATTAAAATTGATATAAATTGATATATAAAGTTGAGAGTGTATATAAAACAAACTGCAAATATATATATATATATATATATTTCAGGCTGCTGCTAACGTTGTAAAGAGACTCATTCCACTTTTCGACAGAGTCCTTGTACAAAGAGCCGAAGCTATAACCAAAACGAAAGGTGGTATTGTATTGCCAGAAAAAGCACAAGCAAAAGTTTTGCAAGGCACAGTTGTAGCAACAGGACCTGGAGCAAGAAATGATGTATGTGTATATGGAATATTCTATTCGCACTTGACTTTTAAAGTCTTTAAAATATTAATACATACATGCATCTCTTTGTTTTTTTTGTTTCATTAGAAAGGAGAACATGTGCCTTTGAGTATCAAGATCGGAGACGTTGTATTACTCCCGGAATATGGTGGCACAAAAGTTGAACTTGATGATAAGAAAGAATATCATCTGTTTCGCGAATCGGATATATTAGCCAAAGTAGAAGTTAAAAATTAAGTTAATTACTTATTCCATTTGTTCCCAGTTTTGTAAACATTGCAAATCGTTTCTTTAAAACTTCACGAATCAATTTATGCAGGAAAATGTGTAATGTCTCTCGGGTAACTATGAGTTATCTATATGACTTAGATATAAAAAGATTTAATTAAAAAAAAATCTGTTGCTGCTAAAGCGCCGTTGTTTCTTATTGTCTCATGTACATACAATTTTCTGATAAAATAAAATGTTTGTCTGTCATTTACCTGCCTCATTATCACATGCCCAATATGTATTAATGCCAGAAATGATTACGTATTAATAAAGAATAACGCTTAATTAGGTTAAATAATCATGGTGCTTATTTTAAAAAAATATACAAATATAATCAATATTGTACAAAATTAAACTTCTTTTATTTCAATTTAATGCCTTTCTTAACACCCGCCTTGATACCTGAAATTTCTCCTTCGTATCGTGTCAACTCCTTTCTCACTTCTCTTACCTGTAAGAAATAATTTTTTTAGATATAAAACATACTAAAAACTCTTATTATTAGTACAGTAACATGATTAAATATTGTATTTTATACATACCGCGCCCTTCCTGCGAATCTTGGCTTTACGATACTTATTTCTATGCTTTACACGAGGATTGCGTAGTTCTTTTTTACGATAAGGGGTAAGACCTCTGTTCTTTGCTATTTGATATGTTATCGCTCTCTTTCCTTTCTCTTCATTCGTAGTATCTAGGATATCATCTTTACTATCTGCAGTTTCATCATTATATAGATCTGCTTCATCCATACTTGCTTCTTCATCTGTAGTATCGGATGATAATTGTTCTTGCTTGTCTTGTTTTTCTGTCTCTTTCAGACGTTTTAATTTTTTATTTATATTGCCAAGTCCTAGAATCTTCTTATGAGTTTGTATCTGAGAACCATTCGATATGCTATAAAGAGGTTTGTCCTCCTTAACTGCTTTCAGTATCTCTGTTACTTGCTCCAACAAATTTCCTTGCTTTGATTGCAATTGATCGAGTAATTGACGGTACTGTGCTAAACGCTTTACGACTGGATGTGATTTTACTGGCAATCCTTTGACTTTCAATATCAAGCAAAAAGAAACATTGATACAGTAATTCAATAGAATGTGATATTTAGTTCTGACAAAAGTTGCTGCGTCACAATCAGGACATGTTCCATTTTCAACCAATTTAAGAAAAGGAGCTAGAATATCATTTATCTCTGTCATACAATCTACAAAAAAAATTTATTCTTTACTCTTTTTATCACCCAGCTTTATACTAGGCACTACCAAAAAATTGTTCTATGAACATTAAATTTATTTCCCTCTATGTAGAAATTGTTAATAAAACCTGAGAAAAAAATGATATAATTGGTCAGATGTAAATATATACAATTAGTTATGAAAAGGTCTGAATTTTATATGATCATATAAAATTACATATGTTATTAGATCTTTTCATAATTATATATATTTGCATTTGACCATATTACACCATTTTTTCTCAGGAAGACAAAAGATTTTGGGATTTGAAGGGAAATCTGGCATCCTTTACTTATAACAACAAAAAATTATATCAAAACAACTTTATGAAAGTTGAGAACTTCCCTTAATCAGAAATAGAAATTTTAATTTATAATTTATTAAATCACTATATAGTATAATAATTATTGTAATAAAATAATAGCCAAAAACACATCCTTAATAATATTGTACATATCTTATACATACCTTTAAAAACATCGACTATAAACATGAAAGATTTTTCATCGGATACTTGCTCATTGTCCTCTTGATCTTCTTTGCAATCTTCCATAGTTTGTACAATTCCAATTAAATTTGAACCCTCGAATGCTAAATGCTCTTCCATCGATCTCATATGGAGTTTTTTTCCTTCATCCTCTTCCATGTCCGCATTGATTAAATCCTTTTGTGGCGCAGATGCATAATCAGTATATTTGAAATCCGATGAATAAAAAGTTTTTGCCCTGTTGCCCCAAGCTCTATCATTCGGCATATCATAATCTTCCTCTTTCAATCCCTCAATATCAAATTCCATTGAATCTTGTTGATCGTCTTCTTGCTCTTCCTCCTCGCTATCATCTTGTAATCCGTAAACTTCGTCATCGCTATCATAATTTTCGATAATGCATTGTTTTCGTACTTTCTCTAGCAGTTTTTTCTCAGTTTCTGTATATTCTTCTTCTGAGTCTGTTACAGCATTCATATCGATGTCTTTGATATCATCTATATCATTGTTCTCCTCATCATCGAGCGGCTTCTTTGCTCTAATAAGAAAAAATAAATTGATATTTTTATAAATGAATTAAATATATATCTTTATCTTAACCTCAAATAGAATTGCAATAAATGTTTATTCACCAATTAAATTTATTACTTTTAAACCAGGATTTAATTTTTGCTATTCTAATAAATTCATAAGCAAATTCATTACCTCTTTTTGTAAACCATATTCGAATGAGATACGATTACTTCTAATAAATAAACGTTTTTCACACGTATTCGCGTGCTGTTGGCGCGACGTTAGCAAACATTAACGACGTCCAGTGATGCAAACTCGAGCCGGCCAGCACCAGGGCTCCGTGGTAGGGGAAGCAGCACACAAGCGTGTGCGCACACGTACGTGTGATGTAAGCGATTCTCACAGATGTCTATACTAGTACTAGATCGCTAACTTCGTCAAAAGAGCTGAGGCCGACAGGATTTCCGGTTTCGGCCATGACACCCTACAACAAAATGGCGACAATGCGTGTGTAATGTGTATAGGCCATAGACATAGGAATATAGGGACCGAGCATATCGTGCGGGGGGGAAGCTACTGCGGGACGGTGCGACGAGGTAAAGTGTGCCTAAATTTGATTGGCTATTAGTTTGCGCAAGCGCGATGTAAGTATCGTGCGACTTCCAGTGTGCATGGACATAGGAATATAGGCCGGTATTCATAGTCCGTTCTTATATTTAAGATTGTCTTAAGCACGGACTTATATTCGCTCTCTTCGTCACACATAGATTGTGTCTGACGAAGAGAGCGAATATAAGTTCGTGCTTAAGACGATCTTGAATATAAGAACGGACTATGAATACCGCCCATAGGGTCGGAGTGTAACGTCGCGAGAGGAAAATCACTGAAGGAAGGGGACGAGGTAAACTGTGCATATTTTTGATTGGCTACTATTTGACGCAAGTGCAATTGGTCATTATTCGACGCAAAAATATTATGCAATTTGGGCAGATATAATGAGCATTTG